GTCTCGTTCCGCTCCATTTGTCTCCCCACCCTTAGTCTTCATCAGATGGATTGGAAAGAGACCCAAGTGTAGTGTGTAAAACACAGGCTTTATTTCAGGTGGTGGTGGAGAAAACAGTGTTTAATCATCCCCCAAAGGAGAGAGCAGCGGGCCATGACCTAAGGGCCCACTGCTCAGATTTACATTAGAAAGTAGCCTGGGCAGCTTCCTGTGGGGCCGGCTTTTCTAAGTGATTGACAGGAAAGGGACAAAAGCACGTAATGTTTTGAGGAAAGATTGGAATGTCACACCTGAACCCTAGGTAGAGCTTAGAGCTCAGATTCCATTCTTTGAACCAGAAGTGTGGCTTCAACAAAACCTTGAAGTTCCAGCTTTTCATATGGTAGCTTAAGTCTTTAGGGGATAATTGTGATGCTTCTGTTTTGGGGGTTACCAGGGAAACGGGGGATGGGTCCATCCTCAGTATCTTCCAAGTCTGCGAATATCTAGCTAGTTACCTAGCTTTGGCAGCCCTCGTGACCTACACCCTGTCTGTGTTTCCAATGAGATGGAAAGTCCTGCAAAGTGGAACTGTCACACTTGCACAGGCCAGCAGGACTTCCTGGGGGGTCTTCTAGCATGATCCTGTGACATTGCCTCTACCTTATCTCTAAATACAACTCAAACTCTATACTCCATGCATAACTATCGGTAGCTCAACCCCCTAATAACATCAGGATAAAAGGTTGACTGTTCCTATAAGCACAAGGCCAGATCCTCTAATCTCTTGGAATATCTCATCATTGGACTGGACTCCATGGGTTCAAATTTTATGCACATTTTTTCCATGAGACACTAATAGCAATCGCTCACATTTGCCAAGTTCACTCTTCAAGGACAAATGACTGATCTGGAAAGAACCAGAAAGCTCCTAAGAATTTAATCAAGGGAAACGAACCACGAGACTTCCCTTAGGGGCAGTCACCTGAGAGAGCTTTGCTTGCCTTAATTCTGCAAAAACACTATATTAACCTGTTGCTTTCAAATAGTGTTTGGTGCATATTTAAATCATCTCCCCAGGGATATGGTGGCCTACTGATATACACTGGTAAACACAATTCCTGAATCTGAGCCAAAAACACGGTGTTTGTGCAATTGGAGGCGAGGAAGACTATTTGGAAAACCCTAAGTGGAAGGTACTGGCCTATATCTAAGAGAACTGAACATGAATCTTCTCTCAGAAGCCAAGGTGAGCCAACCAAACTCAGAATTTCTACAAAAGTATCGCATGCTCTTACCCCTGAGCCAAGCCCGCTGCCCATTGCTGCTGGGCCTTTACAAAAGTTCTGGTGTTCTGTGAGCAGCGTTGCTCCTCTTCCCATTTGCAGGAAGATGCTAACAAGGCAAAGGGTGGGCTGGGCAGGAACCACATGAGGCTCACAAAGCTGGAGCGCGGACCCCGAATGCGCCAGGACTCCTGTGACCTGAGTCAGCTTTCCAAGACTGTTGGCTTTTCCAAGAGCCTTCCACGCCGATTGTTTCCTCTGCTTTTCTTCCTTTGAAGATTTTGCTTGTTCATATTCAGTTTTGTTTTTCCAGTGGCCACACCCTGCTTTTCCACTTTCCAAGTACATTACCCAGAAAGCCATTCTTTGCCCTTTCAGAGCAAAGCTAACATTCATGAATCATGCATGCTCCAGGAGAAAGGGGGGGTAATCCTTTCTTCACCTGCGTTCCCACAGTCTGACCCGCCTTTTCTCCACCCATCAGGTGGGGATGATCTTATTTGGAAAGACAGATGCAGGTTGATGCAAGGGTTGAGAAGAGGCAGGAAGAGACTGTCGCCTTCCTTTGAAGGCCTGGGTTTGCCCTTTCTTGGACACTATAAAAGCTAAGCTGGAACCACTGTAGGTTACAATTGGGACCTCAAGAGTCAGTTCAGCTCTAAGGACCAAGATGCTGAGGTAGCTGGATTTACAGCATCTGTCCTAAAGTAGGTCAGGACTTACAGCCAAGAACACTATATTTCCAAACATTCTATGCCATGGGACCTTACCAGGCATTTCAAAGCCTATGATCACCTGGAAAGAAGGGAGGGGAGAAGGGATGAATGGAAGCCCCGGGTTCCATGAAACCCAAGTACGAATCACAGCTCTGTACACAGCAAGGCTTAGCCCAGTGCTTCCCAAACAGGGAACTCTGAAAGATGCCATGATCTCCGTGGCTCCAAAGGTTAGTGAGGACCTGAGGTAGCAGGGTTAACAGCCTCGCCCCATACACAGCAAACCCTACAAACACCACCACGCTCCATGAAGTCAAGCAGGAAAATCTTGGGAAACATTGGCTCAACCTCGTTTTACCTCACTGCTGAGGAGGCCCAAGCAGCGTTATTCTTGGGAGAAATAGTTCCCTGGAACTCTCGCCCAGGGCTGACTCAGGCAAGAGAGAGTGGTAACGAAGAGCTTCTAGCATTCAACAGTTGTGCTCCGATTCCTGTCTCAACCTTAGACTGCAACATTAAAGTCATTCCATTGTCCTACAGGGCTACTGGAGTTTAGCACTCAGAAGCCAAATTGACTCTAGCTCCAATACAACGCCTCACTTAAGGCCCCAGACCCCAGGGTAAAGAAACACTGGCTGCACCTTTTCCTCAGACAACTTTGCGTTCCAGACAAGAGGCCCCGGCAGAGCAGGTACACTGCCCAGCATGCCCCACACACCAGCTCTCTGAAGCTGCAGCCCAGATGGAGGACTGAAGATTAAGTGTAAGGAAAATGCTCATTGTCTTTCAAAACCTGCTCACTCATCAGGTGAACTCTGGGGACTTTGCCAGGTCTCTGGCTTTATTTTATTCTTCTCTGTCCCCTGCTAGAGCCAAACCAGCAACTAGCCCTCAAGGAGTCTGCCTCTTAGTGACCCCTGCCTGGCTTCCCAGCCCACCTTGCACTGAAAAGCCTCCTGTCCACTATGAGACTAAGCTCTTACTTGGCATCCCATGGCCTTCCAGATTTGCTGAGCCCCTCATCACCTCCTGTGAGGCCCTGTCCCATGCACCCTATGGCTCTCTTGTCTTATATTACCCATTCATTCTTACCCCCAACACTGCTACACTGGCTTAATGCTCCCTGCATGTGTCTTACATGTTTTTGTGCACACTGTTTCCTTATTCTGGAATGTTCTTTTTCTTGCCCCCATCCAGCACCATCCTATCTACCTAAGGTTTTCAGGATCATGCTACTTTGGAGTCTTCTCTTGACAATGCACAGTGCACTGCACTTGCACTCAGCCATGATGCCATGACTGCCCTGCTGCACAGAAGGCCCAGACCACCATGGTATTTCTGCCACACACACCACACATGTAACCTAGGCTGTAAGTGACAGGTCTCTACAGCACTGCTGCCAATTCTGAGCATGTGTCTGGCCATGCAGACCTAGCACAATTCCCAGAAGATTCCAAGTTCGTTCATTGAACACTTATGGAAACAACATATGAAGACTTAAAAGACATCAGGCATAATGTTAATATTAATGAGTACAAGAATGAAAAAAGACAAGTGTTTGACGATAGAGGAAGAAATGTCAAATGTGGGTTAAGTTAGAATCACAGTGCTAGAACATACATACAGTCATCCCAGAGAAAGTTCTCTAAGAGAAGCTGGGGGGGTCATCTGTCCATAGAAACCCCAAGGCTGAGAAAAGGCAAAGACGTGAGTCACAGCTGGAGCTTTAGGAAATCACAAAGATTTGTAACCTAGTGCTGAAAAACACCTGGCAGAGAAAAAGAAAAAGACATGCATGGGGGATTCTGACTGTCAGCTCCCCAGAGCAGAGCATGTCTGGGCATCGTAAGCATCTTTGTCATGATTGCTTTGAAGAATCAGTGCAAACCAATGCACAGCACGAAGGTGCAAGACTGCTGTGAGCAATCTGTGCTCTCTCTGCTTCTTTACAACTTCAGTCTTGGGCCTGGGAGGGCTTGGTCCCTTCCTTGTGCAGAGGAAATCCGTCTCCATGAGTTGAGTGTCAAAGAAAAGAAAATGGGGGAAAGAACTTGAAGTGACAGCTATTTCCCAAGATAATCCTATCCCATTGTAACTTGAAGAGCTACAGCTGATTGACTGTGTGGGAACACATTCACACAAAATAGCGCATAGGATAAGGTGAACTCGGCAAAGGGCCGACGAGAAACCCAAGAACCCCGGTGCTGGGCTTCTCCTCCAGCACAGGAGTGTCTGGGAAGCCCTTGTCTGCCACCGCTTCCTTCTACGCTCACTGTGCTCTGCCCTGAGAGCTGTAGGTTGCCCTTTTCCTAAATGTTGATTACAGAAGGCCTCCTTCTTCTGAGAACTTATGAACAGAATCCATAGAGACAGATATTTGGAGAAGGACCACCCCCTCCATCAGAGTGTAGAGTGTAGTCAGAATGTAGTCCTCAGCACTACTCCCCAGAACATTTATCAGAGCAATATTTAGGGAGCTGAACAAATAACAAGAGCTCTAAATGCCTGCACTTAAATGGTATAAAATTCCACTAAGTGCTATGTAAGAAAACGAAGCAAAGGCACTTGCCTGAAACAAAACATCATATAACATGTAACTTGCCTCCTCTATCCTAGACCTCAATAGCACCTTTCTCCTCCTCTGCCTTCAAGGCAGAGAAGGCAAGAAGGGAGGTTAAGCAAGGTGCTGCTGACAGGGTACCCCCAGATGCAGGAGCCCTGCACTCATCTCTGCTGCCAAGAGAAGAAGACATTGTGCTCAAGAATGGTGCCATCAGACTCAGCCTTCCAGCCTCGCAGCTGTGAAGTGGCCAAGGGAAGGCAGAATATGTAATCCCGCTACTAATCCTTCTGTAAGCAGCAGATCAAAGATAACAAGTGATTTAAAACCACACTCTTATCCCCTGGGCGTGGAGGGGCAAATCTATCTGGATTACCGGTAGGGGGGAAGAGGGTATATTTCCATGAGAATTAACTATTTTTTTTCTACAAAGAGACAATGAGAAGGTTCTCTTCTTACCTCATGGATTTCTGGGGTAAATATGGAGGCAAGCGTTCATTTTCTTGGTCTCCAAGAAAGCAGTCGGGTGACCGATGTGAGCAAGTCCCTTGCACCTTTGATTGGAGAGTTTGGATGTCCCAGCTGAAGGTACTCAGTGCCTTGGTTTTAAGTCTGTGGGTCAGCTTAGACTGGCTACTGACTCATCTATATGCAGTAGTTCTCAAAGAACATGGTTTACTTTATAACCGGATCCAACAAGAGTAGGCGTGGCATTAAACGAGTGAGATACACCAAAGGTGTTGCGCTGCCAAGATAATTAAGAGACTGGTTTTTGGATCCAGGGCTTAGAACAGGAGGAAGGCCTTCTTGTGTGACAGTGTCCATATCACACAGGAGAGTACACAAGGGTCAGGGTGCTCCAAAGAGGGAATTTTTAGGGTCCCCAGGGAGCCCCTCCGAAGTATCACCTGCCTGGTGACTCATTCAGCTATCCTAGAAGGTAAGGCCAGCCTGACCTTCCAATAAGCCTTTTTCATCACTATAGTTATATGATAATGTTGGCCTTTATTGCACAGACTCCTGAGGAGTCAGGCAAGGTTGAGACCCTGACCCTGACCCAGCAACCTCTACCTGTGGGAAACACATCGGCATTAAGTGTATCCCACCCTCTGTAGTCACCCCTATATCGGATCCTGGGTCCTTCCTGAGTTGTTCTTCTAGGTGTCCCTTTAGGTTGCAGTGTTCTCCTGAACATTCACTGAGCCACTAGTCACCACCAGAAGCTTGCAAAAGCTGTCATCGTGCAGCAGAACTAGGGCAGTCTAAACACGGTTTCACTATGTGACAACACAGGGATACTAGCCCCAACTCGGAGTGGAAGAAATAAAACAAGCAGAAGGTCCAAGAAGAGGCACAGCAGGTTGGAGATGCTGTGCCCAATGGCTCTGACACTATAGCTACCGTATAGCCATTTCTTCCACACTCCACCAGGTGGGTGGTGGTGGTGCTCACCTTTAATCCTAGTACTTGGGAGGCAGAGGCAGGCAGATCTCAGTGAGTTGGAGACCAGCCGGGTCTACAGAGCGAGTTGCAGGACAGCCAAGGCTACACAAAGAAACCCTGTCTTCAGAATAGAGAGATAGATAGAGAGATAGAGAGATAGAGAGATAGAGAGATAGAGAGATAGAGAGATAGAGAGATAGAGAGATAGAGAGATAGAGAGATAGAGAGATAGAGAGATAGAGAGATAGAGAGATAGAGAGATAGATAGATAGATAGATAGATAGATAGATAGATGAAACATTCAAGCAAGGAAGAGAATGGAGGCTACAAAGCTCATGAGAAAATTGCAAGACTCAAAGGTCCCCTCCTCAGAGCTTTATAGACAGAAACAACTGCTAGTAGAGAGGAGACTCATCATTCAGCGATGTGGCCTTCATGAGCTGTCTATCATGCTGGAATAGCATATTCGTAACACAGCTATCAGAGTCATGCAAGCTTCTTCTGGTCTATGTAAATAGCCCCAGTGACCGCATTGATTCATCCAGTTAGATTGGGGTAAAATTGTTTCTTTTATCTTTCATCAGTGTCCCTTCAGGGTTGAACAGACTTTTGTCCACGTTGCCCTGGGAAAAGTCATGCAGAAGCTGCCTGCTAGAGAAGAACTGACACACAATGATGTTTGCATGATGACATGGAAACTGGTGCAGAATTACATGGGTGAAGGACACTAGCTGGGTGCTGTACAAAAGGGAAAAGAATGCAGTAGGTTGCTGTGGTCTTACATGTTGAAATGAGATTGACAACATGATCATCTTAAAAGGTGGAGCCTGTAGAGAGAGGTTAAGTCATGAGGGCAAAGCCTTCATGATGGTACCCTGACCTTTGTAGAACTGCTTGATGGAGTGGATGCATTCTCTTCTGCTGCAGGACACAACCTCAATCTATCTCCTGCCTTTCTCTTTGTATACTGTGAAGACAGTGTTGAAGGTGCCATCTTGATCAAGTAGACCAGGCATTCAGAAGACACAGATCTACTATTGCTCCATTCCTGGGCTTTCAGACTTTAGATCTGTAAAAATGATTGTTTGTTTTCTGTGAATAACCCAGTCTCACATATTTTGTTGTAGAAATCCAAGAAGACCAAGAGAAAGTAAAACCACTGCTGACAGCATTTCCCATGTCAAGTTCATATGAGACTTTGCCCAGGGAGCAGTCATATGGCACAGAAGAAAACAAGAGTAGAGACTCAAAGCCCTTGCTAAGTGTAGCCTTTCCTTCCATACGAGCTTTCCCATGGACACTCTAATTCCCAGCTGCATGCCCCTGTCCGTAGGTTCATTCCTTTTCCTTGCTCCATCCCTCATTGTGTGGCTCTATTCTTATTTTTTTCGGTCTCCTCAACCAATGGAATATTCCCAGAGCCCATGCTGAGCCCTAACCCAATGCCAAGCAGTCCTATTTCCTCCAGAGAAGTCTAATCTCCTCAAGGCTAGAAATAGGGTCCCCTGAGGTCAACCCCTGAAGACCTCCAAATGCAGGGAGAGCCAGACTCAGGCCCACACCATTGATACAGTACAGCAGGATGCTAAAGAGAAACACTTTGTGGCCATGTGAATCTTCTTCGGTCTCTATACCATTCTCTGATACTGCCACCGACCTGCCTTACCCTCTTCTTCATTCAGTCGGCCTTGGATCAGTCCTTGAGTAGTCTGCCTTCCTCCCCGTTTTTTCTCACCTGAGCATATCCCCTAATACATCCACCCCACCATTAATCTCATCTCATCTTATGGTCTGCTTCTTGGAGGACTCCGCAAAGCACAGTGGGTTGTTCAGACAGAGTGGGAACCACCAGGGAGCTTGACAAGAGAGACATTGGGGTCCTACAGAACATCTTGGGGAAGGAGCCCTCACAAGCCAACATCCCAAGCAGCGCTTTCACGGGTTCACATTCTGCCTCCCAGCCTCTGTGAGCTGTGGATGCGCCTTTTCATCCTCCCAGACACCCAGCAGATGACTGTGGCAAGACAAACATGTATACAAACACTTAGAGCTCAAAGATAAACAGTGCTTACCAAACGTGAAGAATAAACCCCAAATGAGGAAAATAAATGTTTTCCTAACTGCCTCATTTATTTTCGAGGCAGGTGCCTCTTGCACAACAGCCCCAGGTTGTCTCATTATTATGCTGACCAGGTAGTGACCTTAACTTTGTCCACCTCCCTCTCGTCCCCTACCTTCAAAACTGGGCCTCTTTGCACCTGCAGGGAATGAAAAAAAGAAACTCATTGCTAAGCAACAGAGGAGGGCAGGGCTGATGCATTCTCTCAATCCTACAAATCTTGGTGCTAATGAGTAAGTGAAGCCAGCTGACCTGGTAGACGCTGCACCTCCTGTGAAACCCACGTGGCTATTCCTTCCTTCCTTCCTCCTACCCCACTGTCTGCTCCAACTCCAAGCCCCTTCTGCGGGGGGATGGAGTCCTTGTCCCTCCTAATGCATTGAAATTCAATGTTGTGCTCTGTAAACAGTCTATGCAGAACCCTGAACTCATCTTTTGGGTAATCAGGGAAGAAATTTGGAAGAATCTTAATATAAAAATATAATAGATTAAACGAGTGTTGTTGTTTTAAAGATGAATAGAGCAAAGAATCCCAAAGGTAAAAAGCAATGAGAGCCCAGAAAAGAGAATTCAGTAGTCGAGAGATTTTTACAAGGTTTAAGGAGCTGGAAAACATGCTGGGCGTTGGTGGCGCACGCCTTTAATCCCAGCACTTGGGAGGCAGAGGCAGGCGGATCTCTGTGAGTTCGAGGCCAGCCTGGTCTACAAGAGCTAGTTCCAGGACAGCCTCCAAAGCCACAGAGAAACCCTGTCTCCAAAAACAAAAAAACAAAAAAACAAAAAAAAAAAAAAAAAAGAAGCTGGAAAACAATTGAAGGGAACACCACTACCAAAACTAAGCTCGGGACTATCAGACAGCAAGAGCAAGCTCCCCAACCCCAAACCAGTGGAACAAGAGTGGCCAGATACCTCTGAACAGGGCTGATATTAGGGGCTATAAACAGGAATACTGGTTGAACTTCCTTATACAGCTAGACATGGTGACACACACCTTTAATCCCAGCACTTGGAAAGTAGAGAGTGGTGGATTTCTGTGAGTTTGAGGCCAGCATGATCTACATAGAAAGTTCCAAGAGAACCACAGCTACTTAGAGAGACCCTGTCAAGAAGACAAAGGAGAAATCAGGACAAGGAGAAGGGGGGAGAAGAGGAGGAGGAGGAGGACAAAGGAAACAGATTTCCCAGCTCAGGATTTGAGCTTTAGAGAAAACAAGAAAGGGTGTGAACTTGGCTTCTTCAGTCACAGTTTAGGATGGACACAAGGCACCCTGCAATATAGACTCAATACTTTGTGCAAATCTGAACTGCCTAATAAGAGGCCCATATCTTCTTCACCTACTCTGGGCTCAAGTGATGGATCCTGGCCACTAGAAGTCCTAATAAGGAAGCTATGGACTAAGGAAAAAGACACCGTCTATACTGACATCTTGAGGTCCCTCCACCTGTAGGATCAAATGCAACCTCTTCCTCACTGCTTCAATAAGTGTCATTGTCTTCAATGCCAGGCAGCCAAGGGTCACCAGACATCTGAGGACAGGCTCTTAACATGAAAAAGACTCTGACAAACATGTGTACAAAACCAAGAATAAGCAAAGACAAAGCAATGGGCAAAATAAACCAAGATGACATTATAGATAAGAACAAGTAAAGGAAATAGGGGTGTGCAGGGATGCACCTGGAAACATAAATTCTTACAACAGGAAAAAGATGTAAAACATAGCTAAGAAAACTTAGGATGGAAAGAGTACCAAAGAATAGGTTTGATGCAGAAGCTTCAGGATCTGCAAGATGATAAAATGTGGCAGCCACGACACTGAACATGACCACCTGCAGATGCACATAAAAAATTCCATCACAGCTTCTATTCCAAGACCAGGGTCCCATGGGATGTTCTCAGCCATTGTCTGAAGCAGGGGCAACAAGATAGGCCAGCCCCCATAAGAGCTGAGACTCAAACAAAGGAATGTGAGTCAAGGACAGAAGACTGTAGATAGGATCCTATCCAAACTTGCTTCCCTCTCTCCCTCACAGAGAATATCAAGCTGACCGCCTCATCCCCTGAGCTTTG